GTTTTTTTGTTTTTTTTTTTTTTTTTTTTTTAAAGACCGATTATTTTTCAAGTTAGGAATGAATCAGCAAAACAAAACAACAAAAAAAAAACCCACATTATTATCATTTGGATTTTTTTATGCTTCAGAAATAGTTCTGGTTTAGGATAATATAAAGAATGAAAACTCTGAACCAAGTCTCATTTTAAAAACTGAAGCAGCAGAGGCAGAGATTTGAAATTTGCCACTATAAATGTACATTTAGTACTTGAAGGATATTAGTGTTTGAAATACACAAAATTGTTTGTGGCTTGTTATGGAATACAGGCAGGTTTTAAAATACCAATTTTCAAAACACATCCACAATGACAAGTATATTCTGCTACACCAATAATTCAACGATTAATAGGCCACTTATATTGTGCAATGACACAGTAGCTCCTAAAGCAGTATATTGTGTCCAAGATAGGGATTTTAGTCGCATTTTTACAATGTCATTATGAATTCTTCTCTCTTCTTCCCTTCAGGAAAAAGACACTAAGTTGTTATAACTTGAATGGTCTGACATAAAACCACAACAGCAAGGAGATTCAGCGTTGATTCCATTTCAGTTGTCTTCCACGGTTGTATCCGGGTATAATAGCACATACGATGCACTGAGTGCAAACTCCTGACATGCTGTACCTTGGTACACCAGGGATGAGTACAGAACAAATTTTCTTTCCTTGCTTTTGTGTGTTTCTCACAGCTTTAATATTTGAATGTTTTCGTCTCATTGTAGAAACACTAAATGGCTTATACTGTATTTGGGTAGCACTGCTTAGGGTAGATACTGACAAACTGGGAATCCTTGAACTGCTCTAACATTAATTCTGTTTTGTGATACTTATTTTAATTGATTTTAATACATTTCCGTTCTCTCATTTATTAGGAAACATACCATAGAGATGCTGTACTGTTGGCAATCAACATTAATTTGGATTTTTTTTTTTAATTCTGCAAATGCATTGTTTGATGAAGTGGTTAAAATTGTTTGAAATGCGAAAGTGTTTTGGGTAGTATTTTATACTGATGTATATATTGAAACAGAAATCATTGTAATAATTGTAATAGCTTTTAGTTATAAATACACTACATGCAGACAGATGGGGCTGTACAGTACTGTGCTGTTCAACACCTGGGCAGGGCTACTGCTTGGAAACAGGTTGCAGTGTCAGTAAACCATATGGATCAAATACTGTACCATTCAGTGTTGGCGCTCACCAATGCAAAAGGAGAAGAGACGATTTCAACATGATTAACACTACATAGCTTTCACACATGTGGTAAATTAGTACTAAAGTGACCTTTTCACTTACAAGCATGTTTTTTTTATACAAATTAACAGGTGTGCCTGTGTAAAATAATTTGTTTTCTGTATCTTGGAAAAAATACTCTCCACATGTAGAATGTTGTATGTTAGAGAACTCTTAAATGCACCCTTGTCAAAAATTATATATATTAGTTACCAATGTTACTTTTAGATACGAGCATGACTGTAAGTTAGGTACCTAAGTATGTTCTGTTACATTATTTTTCTTTATGTAATACTTTTTCAGTTGTTTTATTTGGTATAAATATATACTTTGTGCTTAAACATCTTTGTTTGTTTTTAACATTCAATAGTATGTAAAGATACTGATTTCCTTCAGTAAGAGGGATGCGTTGAATTGTTGGAATTCCTATTGTATTGTGTCTGTTCTCATCCCCCTTGTCACAGCTTTTGTAGTCATAAACTCCAGTCCTGCAAACATTGTGTCCAAGCTAACCTAAGAGACAGAAGAGTCCCACTGAAGTCAGTGAAGGCTTAACATTAACGTGTACATCTCTGTGTGTTTGCAATAATGAAGAGACAGTGACTCTACTGAGCCTCATACAATTTGTGTAAAACCATACTTTAATTGCATATGGCACTATATAGTGAGAGCTGGTAACAGAACATCTCTTATCTACTGTAAGAAAGCATCCACTTTTTGCAGATATGCTTGCAACGTTCAGGATCTTCCCATGTAGCAATACATTTTTTGCTAACTCTAAGTTTATACAATAATTTGTGGCAGACTATCAATAAAGACACACTATTTTCATTTCCAAGTTTTGACTTATGAATTGTGAAATACGTAATGGCATACCTTGAAAGTGTCTGAAGATTTTAGTTTAAAAAAATCTTGACAGGATTCATTAATTTTGACCTTCTGTAAAACAGAAATTCTGAAAGGTATTTTTTTAATGTAATGCAATTTGTGATGGCTGAAGTCATGCACTGTTTGCATTTTAGCAGTTCCAGAGTTACTACTGTTCAGCACTGAAATGCCTCAACCCGGTGAAATTCAGTGCAGTTGTGTCTTATTTGAAGGTCCTGGGCTCAGTGCTTCTGTCAGTTTGTCTTTTACTCATCAGTTCATAGCTTGGTTTAGTCACTCGGATCCTTTAAATTTAAACCTAACATCACACCTTGCACCTGGGAGTAGAGAGCCAGTGCCAGGGCATGAGAAGGCGCCAATTTTATTTGCTGATATCACTCTCTCCCATTTATAAGGTGGTGACATATTACAGTAGTTGAAGTATGAGTGACCTTCTGAGGCAGCCCTAAATAGACTGTGTTACAGCAAAGCAGGATATCTGCTCCAGGTGTTCCGGGCTCGCTTGGCAATTCTTTTTGAAATATTTTCAACACTTAGTTAAAAATAAAAAGTATTGGTTTCAGTAAGCCAGAAATAGTATGCTTCCAAGGAAGCTTTGAGTCTTCCCTATGCTAATGTGCAAGTTATCAGCAAAAAAAGCATTTTTCACCTAGGATCATTAAGGAAATAATTATTTGAGATCGGGCTACGATCTGTCTAGCACCTCCTGTTCTGGAGGTTCTTTCAGAGATAAAGTGGGGCCATCAATTTTATTTTACAGCATCAGCACCTATAGTTTATATGTTCCTGTTGAAGAGTAAAGGTGTGCTTCTTGCCCCTTGTCGTCGCCACATATTATTGCTAACAATACTTATCCGCACCCTCTAAATTTGGATGTCATCAAAGCAGGAAGACATCTGTACAGCATGGCAAATCTTGGCTTACGTGAAAGGGTAGAACCAAGATGAACCGAAGAACCAAACTGTCTTTACAACATTGGGTAGAGCATTGTACCAACTACCATACCCAGTACTTAAAGTCTCTTAAACAAAAAAGGCAGTATGTTTTTCTCTAAAGAAAAAAAAAAAATGGAGGAGGCATGTTGAATGAGAAATGTATAAATACCAATATATCTGACAAAGCTGCCCAATGGTTTTTGTGGAAAACTCATGATATTCTTCCTGACATACGCCTCTCTTTAATGCAGAGGTCATAACAGTGAATGTTACAGATGTAGGCTGTTATTGACAGGTATTATTTTCTCTATATGGGAATGAAGTTGGTCACTCTGATTATAGTATTTTTAATATTAAAGTGGCTTGTATTAGAACATGACAAGCAAAGCAATTTTATTGGGTTTTCCTGTCTTAGCAAATGATTTTAAAAAGGGGGGGGGGGGGGAGTCAAGAGCGGCCCAAGAGGCTTTTTCTTCAATGATATGCAGCAACAAAAGAGAGCTCCATAAAAATGGTATGTTAGATGTCACCTGAAGTGCCCTTTCTCCTTCTGCCTTATATGTTATTTTTGAGCTACTCCAGTGTTTTTTAAATTATTTATCGTATTTACCACATGCAAGTTTTGCTTGCCTAACGACTGGGATGGTAGCGCTAGGTGCTCTTCATCCCCAAAGGAGGGCAGTTCCTCCTCTCCAGAATTCAGCCATCATCCTGTTTGCAGTCTGTAAAGCAATGCAGAAACTACAGTCTGGCTCCAAAGATGCTGCCCAGCCCCTGCTACAGGAGGGCTATTGGCAAGCACAGTTTTTCTGAAGGATGGTGGATTCCTGTTCTGGTTTGACTTCCCAGAGACTGGAAAAGTTCAGCTTTCCTATTTCATTACTTTGATTGCTGTGGCTGGTTG